ACCTCGCGATTGCTGAACAAGAAAACGACACATTCATATTCCAATGCCGAGGTTAAGAGAAAGTCGATCTTGGGAACTGTCCAAACATTTTTCTCGCAAGAGTAATCTTTGTATATGGAAGATAAGAGTAGAGATAATGAACCAGTATTTGGTTACTTGGATACTTGGACGGCCCGTTCTCACTGATTGTGCGGGCTCCTGCATAATTTCCGTTTTCCTGGAGTTTTGTTGGCTTAGTTACTGCTGTGGTAGCCCTGGAGTTACGAAGTCAGTCTGGCCAAAGCCTGCCCCAGGTCATCACCACCACAGGTACTCGCCGCCCTTGTGGATTAGAGGGAGATTTGCACCATGCGACTAGTTTGACAGCAGGACGGTGGTGGATTCTGGTATTGGTTTACTCTTAGCTGGGATTTTTATTGGAAACTCTGGTTTCCTTCTCAGCTTAGGAGATAGTGCCGGGAGATGAATGCCCCAGTTAGACATCGCAGCCCGACAGGAAGATCTCCCAGCCACGATGAGGTGGTAAATCGTTGGGAGCAATGAACCGGTATGTTGATATTACTTGGCTTTCGGTACCTCTTCATCATGTAGTCTTTTCAGGTAGGTTAATTAAAACGTTCATTAATAAAAGAAAAGCTTACGCATTTGGTCTCTTCTGCTACAGTTATCGGAGAAATTTGGCTGAGCAGATTGCATATTAAATGGACGTAATGTTGAGCGTGAAATATTCGGAAATGTTAGCTAGCGTAAAGCACATACTGTGATATCAACCTCTTACCTGCTCGAGAAGAAAATAGCAATTTAAAATTGAAAGCGTGAAAATCTGTGGATAATTCCTAACAGGATTTAAGTTTTACCACTTTTTTACAACTAACAGAGCTATCCTAAGACTCCAATGAGAATATATTTGATCAGCATTAAATGACCTTCGTGACGATAACGGAAAAAGTCCTGAGACTGCAGCCGAACGGAGATGTAGCAAAACTACCTCATGAAAGGATGCTTGTGGCGCAGTGGTTGGAGGCGCCGTGCAACACAGACATGGGATCGATCGTGCGCACCTGGCCCCCCAATCCTTCCGAGGTCGGCAAATTGGTACCAGACTTGTCTGGGAGGATAGTAGCACTGGCTTGATACATTCGGTGGGCAGCGACTAAAGTCCAGACATGCATTCAATCACTTCCAAACGATCCTTAATGAAGTCAAATAGAGGGCGCATCCTTCAGGGATTGAATAACGCAGGAAGCTTTATCCTTTTATCCCATGCTTTATGAATGATCCTAGCATGTAGTAAAAATCCTGCCTTTAAGACAGAAAAGAAAGACGCATCACCATGGACGGGAGAAGATGGTCAGATTCAGCAAAATATCAAGGACCACTACGCGAACTCGTTCATCGTAAGTTTCTTTTACACGTTGTTCTTTTTTTTTGCCAATTACATCACTTAAACAACCAGAGGTGCCCTGGAGTACTTCGTCGTTGCTTTAATCCAGCGCAAAAAGGAACATGCACGCCCTCTCATTCCTAGATTGGAAAATTCAAGCTTGCCTTAAAAAATGAAAGCATTGATTTCTTACATCGTTAGACCAACAATAGACTCGGGATCAGTCAACTTACACTATCTCACGGTCTCTTTTCTAAGTTAGTGCAAGGTTGTTAGCATATATTTTAATGTTAGGTGGCTAGCTTTGCCATCTTAATGGACGCAATGATTCGGATGGACGTAACAGTTGTTTTTTTGAGGTAATCTCACTCGGCTCACTTCACTCACCTCCCAACGGTTTCCCGCCTCATCGTGGCTGGGGAGTGTTCCCAAGTATCCGGCTGCGATGTAGAAGGGATGATTAATCCCACCAGCGGGCTCTTCCAGGCTGAGATTGAGTCCAGCGTTTCCATCAGGAAGCCATGCAAACAATAAACCGATACCAGGATTCGCCACCATCCTAGTGTCAAACTAGTCGCATGTTGAAAAATCTTCCTCGATTCGCAAAAGCGACGAATTTCTGTGGTAGTGACGACCTAGGGCAGACTTTGGCCAGGCTGATCTCGGAACTCCAGGAAAACACAATTGCTAAACCAGCAACACTGCGAAAAATGAGAATACTCTGATGCCCACACAACCAGTGAGGGCGAGCCGTCCAAGTATCCAATCAAGTTATCTCAATAGGCGATACAACACGGTTCTTGACTTGATTGATGGGTGCATTAGAAGTCGCATGCCAAGACAAATATTTGCGATTTCCTTTCCAGGCTATCCCAAATTTCTGTTGTCCTGTGATAAACAGCTCAATTGTTTAGTGGGGAACACAAAGCCCGCGTTATTATCATTACGTTGTGTCATAGATTTTAACTAGTTTCCTGAATTGAACCAGAAATAAAAATGCCACGGTGGATGAGTGACACATTCATAATCTTCATATTCTTTATATGGTCAGAAATTTTAACTGGTTTTTGCTTTTTTTCATATCGATGATGTGAATGGATTTGTTGACACGCTTGTGACACCATTTCGTGAACGAATAGAGGCAAATGGAATGTCCATGGAAGACTTAGACATAGTACGTGGTCAACTCCTTTGCCTGAAGTGCTCTTGTTCCACCCAACTTCAATCATCACATTGTTTCCGATTACAATCTACTTTTGAGTTAAAATTGGGAATGAGAAGTTTGTGAAATGAACCAAAAACTATGCACATAGGGATGCTGAGATATTTGAAAACTCCGGACCGCAAGTATCCGCAGTGGGAACAAACGCGCTATTACTTTTTCCGGGGCCTGACGTCTTCATCACCACACTATGTGGGTCCTTCGTTTCGCCTGTCTCTCAACCAGTTTTTTATCGATCAGTGCCATCAAAAATCACCCGTCAGTGGGTTTGATCCGGAGAGCCCACATCGGCATTGAACCCACTTAAGCTGGGCAAATAAATTAAAATTGTATTAGGCAGCAATTGAAAAGTAAGCACCATGCACATATTTCGTGGAAGTGGTACAAACTTAGTGGTAGATTAAAACTCAATACAGCGAAAGCATGTTCTTAACACTGCGTGCTCATTTGTTCTTATTCCTCTACGGCCTGAGGAATTGAAATCCTTCCAGATGAACATTTATGGATACATTCATTTGTATGACGCATTACGACTGTACGCCATTGCCATTCGTACATCGATGAACATCACCGGCAACTTCACAATTTACGAAGATGGGCGTTTCGTGTGGAATCAAATGCGACGTCTCACTTTTCCTGGTATTGCAAAAATGATTTTTTTTCCATAGTTCGAGATATACCTACTTAGCATTGCCTTGCATGGTTACTACAGGAGCAAAGATTATTACGGCTTATCTATAACCTAAAATTAGAGGGGCACATACAGCACAGTGGTTAGAGGTGCCCTGCAATGCGCCTGTGTCCAATCCCGCGCAGCTCGCTCACAGCAGCCGTCCATCTCTCTGTGGTCGGCAAATTGATACCAGACTTGTCTGGGAGGGTAGCAGCACTGACTCGATACATCGGTAGGCCACTACGAGTTATTGAATAGTCCAAATATGCATTCAACCCCTTCTAACGATGCTTGATAAAGTCGAATGTACGGCACTTTCTTCAGAGATAGGTTAGCGCCAAGTATTTTGTCTCTTTCGTCGTTTATGCGGCTTCCATGTATTATGTAACCATTTCACTCGCAACTCTTCCACTACATCGATTCCTATCTTTGTCCAACAAACATGGAAGAATAACATACCGCAGCAACCTTGTGACCGGTCCCTCCTACTCCAAGCGTAAGTGCGTTACTCCACTAGCCTATACACTCTTTTGAACACTTTCTTCCTTCTCCTCCATTCTATGGAGCCGATTCCAATTTATTGCTTCTTTATTTAAAACTGGGGAACTTCTAGCGAAGTAGCCCTGCGATGCACATGTGTTCATCAGCTTGATCTCGCTCGCCGGACTCACTAGGCCTACGGAACGGAGTTGACAAAGCGGTGCCATATTTGCGTTGTATTGGCCAGATATGCATTCAATCATTCCTAACGACGTTTCATAAAGTCGAAGTATGATGCATCTGGCAGGTGTAGTAACAGATCCCTCATGGATTAATCAATGACGGACGCGTTATCCTTTTTTTGTCTAAAACAAACTCTTGATTATCACCGTAGAAACTTTTTGACTTGAAAAGGTGAATTAAATAGCTCCTATCTTTTTACTGTAGTTCTCATGTGATTAGCAGTCCTATTATTTGCTTCTGCTTCAATTAATCATCCTCTTCTCCTCTTGGAGTGTATGATATTAAGGTCTTGTATCAGCAGAAGGAGTGAGTTCGGGAACGGTGATGATGGACGACCTGGCAGAACGGGCACCGGTATATGCAGGTACAGCAAGCTACGTGCATATGTATGTTTTGGAAGTAGCATGTAATCAGTCAAGTAATCAGTAATCAGTTTTTATCAAAAGTTACTAATGACTAACTAATCTGTTTTGGTTTGGCGAACTATTTTTGGGAACTTTCTCGATTAAGACCATCTGGCAGGTGTAGTAACAGACCCTTGTTTGCCTCTGACACAGCGAATATTTTCGAAATTTGTTGTTTACGAACGTATAATTGAACTTAAATGGGTTAGGAAAAGCTTTCATAGTTCTCCAAGGCAGAGGTTTTAAGTCAAAGGAATAGACGAAGATTGTGTAAAAGTAGTTGGTTAAAAGCTTATTTCTCTTTGATTATATTTTGTACTCCGAGCAACTCCTTTCCTACTTGATACTCGATACTTGAATGGCCCGTCCCCACTGGTTGTGCGGGCACCGGCATAATCTCCATTTTTAGCAGATTTGCTGGTTAAGCCATTATGGTTTTCTGGAGTCCCAAGGTCAGCCTGGCCAAAGTCTGTTCTCTGTCTTCTCCACCACAGGCGGTCGCAGCCCTTGTGGATCAGAGAAAGATTTACCACCATGTGACTTTGATACCAGGACGGTAGCGGGCCGTGGTAATGGTTTACTCTTAGCTAAGCTTCTTGATGGAAACGCCGGACTCCTTTTTAGCTTGGGAGACCTTACCAGGGAATGAATCCCCCGTACATCGCAGTCAGACACCCAGTAACACCTCCCAGCCACGATTAGGCGGTAAACCGCTGAGGGAAACTCGTTTCTATCTAATCCTAATTTATTCTACTCGGTAGTAACATTACCACTCTTTTTAATCTGTCGGGGACAATTTTTAACAAAACGTTCTCTTTTCGTGCGAGCAAAACCTGAACAAAAACTAATTTTGCATTTCGATACTATCTAGTAGAGGAGGAGAACACATTGTTGTATGTCGCTATCACAAAACATGGTGCGCGATGGTTTTCTCGTTAGATGGGCAGCCAAGGTTGCCATAGCTTTCTTAAGCATTCTTTGAAAGAAGAGTAACATTGAGGTAGACTCTTGTTCGATTCGCTGTTTCATTTTCTGAACACTAGATGTGTGATGTGTTGCAGCTGTGACTCAACGACATTACTAACCTCGTAATGTGTTCGAAGCACTAAATTTTGAAAATTATTGCCTGAGTGAAAAAGTCACCTACCTTGGTCCATCAGTGGAGTCGGGGTTTCATGTTCATTTCTACGAGTCCCCAAATTCTTAACTTTCCTTTATTGTGGTAAATACTGCAGCCACAACTCCTGTACGATTTTCCTGTATAAAAATTTGTGGAATATTTTTCGAACCGACCGTAATCAATGTGCCTCTGAAAAAAGATGATAATGTCGAAACGTTAGCCGAGTGAATGGTTTTTATGCACTCCTTGCTAGCCTGATTGTCAACGAAGGATTTGTAAAAATCTTTCATAGTTCCTTCATTTCATTGCTTCTTCAGTATTGTAGTATTTCCAACGAATGTAATCATTTCCTATGTAGATGCACTTTTAGATTAGCAGTGTCCCAATTTTCGAAGTATAAGTGCTTTCAGCATAGTGCTTCTGGCGAAGAATTATAAGATTTTTCTTTTCGCGTTGCGGATGGAGTGGTGACGATGTCTTCAAATCGCCTGGCTTGATTGGCTTTTCATTGCTATATGCCTATATGCATGTGAAATTATTTCTCCTTCTAGGTTAACAATGATACGAATGCAGCCAGTGATTTTGGGAATTGGCGGTGTGAGCTTCTGCAGATGGCTGTGCAGGAGAATTATTATTTCCAATTTGCTCTAGTATCATTTGTCTTCCGAGATCAGGAAAAAAGTCGAAATCATGCCTTCAGTGTTAGTAGTATAAATGGGTTTGACCGTAGTCATTATCGCATTTTTTTGAATAATCCTCTTTATCACTATTCATGAGCTCACTTAAGTGTCATCTTGTACTTTTGCAGGAACTACTTTGGATTTTGTAGGCTGAGCTGGTATTTTAGCAAGAAGGAACGGTGTAAATTACTGAGACATGTTACAGTTTTCTATGTGCCTATATGTACGTAAAATTTTTTCCGAGACTTTGCTCCATCGCCCTGGAGATAGCAAATGTTTGTTTGCTACTATGTCTAATGTGCTCCTATGATTCACCACAAGCTTTCATTGCTGTCAGCTTCTAGAAGTGTTTAGCAACTGTTGATTTTCTTTGTCTAGTGTTAATGGCAGAACTGGTGTTTTAGAAAGAGCGGAGAACATAAACTGCTGAGGTTTGTTACAGTTTTCTACGTGCCGCCTAACAGCGATACAGTGAGGAAAGTCAACAAGATCGAGCCGAAGTTGATCGAGAAATGTGACGGTTTGAAAACAAAAACGGGATGTGTCGATTTGGTGAGCGAGATCGTCTGCAATTAAGAGTACTAAGCTTGATACAAGTGTTTACGTTGTACCTCAAAATGTTTATGAAACAATAGTATTCCACGATTTCCACCATCATCGTCGCCGTTAAGCAAATCACGGAAGTGGTAACCGGGTTTTGGCCATCTCCTGATGGTACACTGCCTCAGGATGAGCCTTCATGTGGATTTCGCAATGAACGCTGCGACTACACAATGTTAATCATCGCTGGCTTAATGTTCCTCCTATTGCTGCTCACCATCGCAGGGGTATTCATCACTGTAAGAATATGGTACGTCCTGGTTATAGTTGATAAAACGTGTATAACTTGATCTTCATTCGAGGTCGCGACCTTCTATGACTAGGAGCCTTTCTTGGCCCAATAATGAATAAGTTCATATTTCAGCGAGAATCGCACCTTAGCGAAAATGCAATGGAGAATTTATCGCGACGATTTCAGAGTGGTTAACGAAGATGAAGTTCGTTCTATGGTAAGGTGATGTTGGTAGATTTCATTTGAAGTGGTCTTTTAAAACTTCTTCTATTTCGAAGGTACATTAACCTAGTGTCCATTCTAAACAAAGTATAACTGATGGCAAAAAGATCGATAGAACTAGCTGAGAGACAGACAAAACGAAGGACCCGGAGGGTGAGGTGGTGAAGTGCGCTCCTCCCCGGTAAGGACAACAGCGCGGGTTCATTCCCCACCGCATACACCTGCGGTCCGGAGTTTTGCAAATATCTCAGCATTATATATGAGTTATATTTCGCAACATACCCTGCGATTAAAAAGAAAAAGGCAGTAAATAAAAAGGTTAACAAAGTACAACGTTTTTTCTTGTCCATTCTTCTTTTCAAATCAAAAAAAATACAATGTTTTTTTTTATTTTTATACGACCCGTCTTCATGTCTTCTGTGCGGATCCCACCGCTTTTCACATTCGATTCGTTTCCTTGCATCCATTGTCCACAGAGATCTTCCAACTTTTACGTGTTTCTTCGGTTACAGCTTAGGATTCAATCATTTCATTTTGAATGTCGTAGAATTCTGGTCGAGGCATTTCTCCATGGAGTCCTGAGATGACCGAACCGGAGCATTCCCAGATGGATTGCAGAGATTGATTTTTTCCCAAACAAGTCCGGTACAAATTTTCCGACCCCGAAGGAATGAGAGGCTTGGTTGGCCTGGAGCGGAATCGAACTAACATCATGCACTTGGTACCCTACCTCACTACCACTGTGCTATTGGCTTTGTAAAATATTATACAGTGATGTGAAATAGTAGTATAACAGTGTAGTGGCAATCAGAAGGACCGCTTATTGGTTGATTACTGCGGTCAAGCACGTCCAGCAATTTAAGATTGCACGTAATCTCTAATAATGTGAACCCCAGCACATTTTCTGTTCATTCCTCCACCACACGATCGTCGTCTTTGATGATGGTTTGCTTCTAATATGGTGACCAGTGGGAGTATCGTACAGAATTATCTGTAAAGCTATTGCAACTGTGAAATTAGCTGTTTGATTTTAGCTATAAACTCGTCCTTTCATTAAGCAAGTGATGGACATGGAGAACGCTTTCATTCTATTGGAGCTCACTTATTTGTCTTTCCTACAGCATGATCTGCTCATCCAGGATTTGCTATCGATATGTATCTCTTGGATCATCGAATGGGATAAGTTTCCAAGATGTGAACTGCGCATTCTAGCTGGAAGGTGTGCACGTCGCCTATATTTTAGAAGATATTTGTTCAAGCTTTCTCCGAGTGGTGCGTGAACTTTTTGACGTTGTTGAACTGTCAACCTACGTCACTGCTGCTGTGAAGATTGTTGAGTCGATGACATGACTTCATCATAAACTGCAGCGTGGTAGCCAAGAGCCTGCGAGATGCTGTCACCATTTAGAGCTCTTGTACACTTTGGGTTTACACCTTGATCGCAGTAAACAAAGGCTAGGATAAGGCGCAGGTTGTAAATTTGGACCGCTTACATGTTCGAACAATAATATTTGCTTACATCACCTTTAACCCTATTAGTTCACGAATAACTCGAATGAACACCAAAGCACTTTTGATTGGCTCTTATTTAGCGCAAAAGCCGGTAATTGGATCACGTTCTATAGGACATTGCGATCCTCATGCTTTTTAAAAGGGATTCTTCAATACTTCTAGCAATGCAGTGGCGATGAGTTGCTGTTCCGTGCCAGGTTTTCATACTCCGCACGGGATCACTAAACTTAGCTTGCATCAGATCCGAGGTTGGTTATTGAAATTCGAGGCGTACTATGCAATTTGACACCCAGTGTCACCTCTGGGTACGGCAAAACGGTGAACCACTGTGAGAATGATAATATTTAAGAAAAGACATCAATAGACTAAGTATTCGGTATTATTATGAATGTGCCTGCCATTCGATTGCATTCGTAGCGTCTTAGAGGTGATTCAATGCATGTTCGGCTTACACGATGACATGCAGTAGCCTACCTATATATTCTATCAGTGGTTTTGTTTTCAACCTCTCAGACAAGTCCAGTATCAGTTTCATTAGTCCAAAAGGATGAACCACTTGTTTTCCTTTGAGAGCTTCACGCACCGCGTGAACAACGTTGACGATAGTTGCATTACAATTTCCCTTATTATTATGATAGCACCAGATCATCTGCAGGTGCATGTAGAGCTGTGATAGTGATGCTGTTCAATACGTGAAATTTCTTTATTCCAATCTCTTCGGTTAAACCAAGCTCCTCTGCCCTGTATCGGAAAATTCGTCCTGGGATTGTTGAGATCAGCTCACTCCTTCCAAAGCGCAAAGGCTGGCTACTGTCTGTAATGAAGACCTGGGAATGTCCTAGCTCGGTTCTCCCAGAATTTCAGGGTAAGTCGACTTGGTCGCTATTCCACGATATTCATAAAGAATAACCAAAGGTTCACGCAACAACCGCACCCATAAGCAAATCCGAAGATTGTCGTGGATGATAGGTGCAATGGAACCCACTACTGAACGCGAGAGGGACGGAATCCGCATAATATGTAATGTCAGATCGTGTTTAAATAAAGACGCCATCCTGCATGACTTCTGATTTCATCTTTGCAGTTATCGATCGGTTCTGCAAGAACGAAACTATCGAATACGTCAACGCTCATAAAGCACCATGCCGTGCTGGGCACCAACACCCACGCATCTTTTCACGTCTACCCCCAACGCCGACCGATCACCTTCAATCGGTCCGATATGCAGCTCCTGACTCTGGTATGCTGTCACATCTAACCATGTAGTAAACTATAGCCAAAAAGCATTTTGATTATAGTTTATTATTGAATTTAAATAAGCACTTTCCAAGATCAGTATTGAAAAATCTGACTGAAGGATGTGAAGCGGATAACTTTTTAATCTTCAGGAATATGCAAATCAGCTAGCCTAGCTAACAGTGATTAAAATATGTAGAAGAAAAGTTTTTTTTAAAGAAAATTCTATTCACGAAATGAAAATTGGATTTCATTCATTGCGCTGGTTGATTGACCCCTGGAAGAAAATATGTTTTAATGCGTATATTACTTTGTATTATCATTAACCTGATCTGTCCCATCATTTTCGATTTCGATGATTTGATGCTAAAACCTGAACAATTCAATTTTTCCTCTACAGTATCCATACTGCGATGAATATTTTCAGAATAATGGAGTTCCTAAGTTGTTTTACACATCTTATTTAGATAAAGCAATCCATCCATGACAATATCAATCCGTTCCTGGGTATGTCGTTCAATGAAAAGGATGAAATGGTGTTGCTCTGGAAATTCTGTTCACGTGGTACTGTACAGGTGAGGCAAAATACTCCAAGAGGTTCACCATTTAGTGCAGTATCGCTCCCGGTGTAATTTCACTTGTTGAGGACATTATCTATAATTCCGACCTGGTGTTGGATGCAAAGTTTCATGGTGCCTTCATAAGAGATATCACTTTGGTGAGTTCTACCGGTTTGGTGTTTTCCTTCTAGTCAAGAACCATTGGTAAATTCTACTTGTTTTCTACTGAGCAGCAGCTAAGTGACCGTTTCAGGGTTTGGAGTATCTTCATACCAGTCCAATCGGATATCATGGGTCACTCACTCCATGGGCATGTCTTATTGATCGGAACTGGATGATCAAACTTACAGACTTTGGTAACTAACAAAGATCTACTATTTTATTCTTGTTCTATTATATTGAAGTACTATCTATTCTTCATGTTGTATTCCAAGTTCTTAAAGCAAGGATGTGGGTGCCAGATACACCGTGGCTCCAGTGCTATCGTTCGTTTTTCATCATTCTTGTCTTCTTAGGTCAACCAAAACTTCTGCCATTATTTGTCTGACTTACGTAGGTTACTGGTAGATATCGATAAATAAAAAAAAACATTGAACAGTTCAGACCTAAACCGTTAACTCTCAGAACAAAATGTCATAAATCCGTCAACTTCTAGGAATTGCTAGTTGCCTGGAACGATGGGAGAAGCAAGGTTTAATTTCGACTGAATTGCTCAAAGATAACGATGAAGAGGGGAAAAGCGGCTCGCTACAAAAAACAAGTAGTTCTTTTATTCTTTATCAGTATAATTTTTTAGCCTTTATTTGTAGGTTTGAGTATTGCGTACTTCTGAGTGAATAGAGAAAGAATCATTTAATTCTAAGAAGTAGATATAACTAGGTTAAACACTTCCCCACTTGTTCGCTGGTTCGTTGTGACTGTACGAAGTTCACCAGTGTACAACATGGGTTAGATTCCTCAATACGATTACCTGGCTGGAGACCAGTCCAGTATTTCCGTACGGAATCACACTGTTTAGATTACATTTGGCTTTTCTCTGAGTACAAGGAGCTACTTGTAGGAATAAATGGAAAGTGGGTAGGAGATTTTATTGGTGTCCGCTCATTTCACCCAATTCTTGGTCGTGACAGAAGGCATGTGAATTAAAGAAATAAATGTTATGCAAAGTTAAGTTGTTGCAAAACAGCGTGCGTTCAGCAATATGTGCAGGTCTTTTGCTTGAACTCCACCTTTGCTCAACTAAGACTTTTGTCCGCCCGAGAGCAGGAAATTCGTACCGAACTTGTCTGAATTCTCTTCTATTCAGACAGCCTGTAGTGAAGAGTTTGGAACGCCTTAGCACAACTATCCTAGAATCTAGTCCATCACCATTCAACGACTTTCATGAGGACAGTCAAATACATCCTCAAACAGTGGCAAAAACCACACGTGAAAGGAATCGAGGGAGAGACTTGCTGGGATCCGCACAATACTTGATGTTGTTATTGATAAGTTACTACTAATTAAGAACTACCTACTTAGACACATTTAGTTTCTTAGTCGAACAGAATTCCTACAATATACCGATCCCAGCACTTTTCAATTTCTTCATACGTTTTCTCATATTTTGTCTCCCACGAAGGCTTTCGGAATTCAGTATAAATTTGGCGAAGCGTTTTCTGTTTTTTCATGAAAGTTGTTAAATGCTGACAGAGTTGACTTCCCCTCGGAAGCGTGGCCACTTTAGCTAGTGTGCTGTCTGATCTGCTAAAATATGTATAGTTTAAATTGAATCAATGACACAAATAACTTAAATGATTGGATAAAAGTAGTGTGTAAAACGAAGAGACGTAGCACTGAGCACAAAACCTTTGAGAAGGAGATAACCGTACAGAGTTGAGGCGTTGAAATTTTCAGGTGTTCTTTACCAGTCACCTGAATTGTTGAAGAATCGGGCACTGAATCGATTGCGAACCGTTGATCAGGTATGAACGATTAAATAGTCATTTTCATAGAAAGCACGGAGTTCATTATCAAGAACTTTTCTTTATTAGGATAAAAAATTGCTGAAATTGAAACCAGAAAGGAAGGCGAAGCAAGGGTCTCGGTAGGTGTAGTGGATGGTACGTGATTCCCAGTTAAGGGTAATGCGGAGTCGATGCTCTTGTGAGGTTCCGAGTTTTGCTCATGTCTCAGCATCATCGTGGTTATATTTCGCAACATACCACACGATGAAGAAACAGGCAGTAAACAAAAATTAAAACACTGCCAAATTTGGATGCATTTCTTAAACACAACCCATCTCCAAGGAACGCGGTAGCGCAGTGGCTAGAATCGCCCTGGAGTACATATTGCTGCGATCCCGCGCAGCAAGGTCACCAAGCCTTCCATCTCTCCGGGGTCACAAGACTTGTCTGGTTGAATAGCAGCACTGACTCGATACATCGGTAAGCCACGGCGTATCATTGTATGGGCCAAATACGCATTCACTCACATCTAACGGTGCTTAATGAAGACAAATCCATGGCGCATTCCTCGGAGATTAATCAACGCGTGGAGTTTTTTCTTACTTTTTAGTTTTTAACCTATGTTCACACCTACTTTGCAAATCATGACACTTCTTTAATTCCATTCATTACATCTATCGTCCACGAAAGCCTTTGAACTTCGGCAGCCGCTTGATTATTGCTGCCTTCGTAATAGATGTCGGTGAATGCTGGTCGAGCCCACTTTTACTCGAATCCTGGGATAGATATGCTAAAACGTTCCTTCGTGGATTTGAATGTGTGAGTTGGGCATATACAAGTTTGTTTCCACTTTCCGACTCGGAGTGATGAGCGAATTGGTGAGCTTGGGGCGACGTCAAAGCAGTACCATCCTAGTGATGACACTACCTCTGCAGTACCCAACCACTTTGGATCCGTTGATTTCCATATTTTATAAACAGCAAGGCTTTGTATAAAGTTAGAGGTGCCCTGCAATAGAAACGTGGATCGCACCCTAGGGATTTCCTTCGCGACTCGAGCTCAACAAACGCTCCACTCCACCGGTTAGTGCAGACTAGCCTCGCCTGGGACAATAAGAACACTGGCTTAATTTATTATAGGGTTATATAGGCCAGAGTTGCATTCATTTAACTCCTCTTGATTAAGCCGAATTCATGGCCTATCAATCGAAGATTAAGCAACGCCGAATACATTATTCTTAATGAACAAAAAATCGGCCCACTTTTCTTCTCTTTTTTCTCTTTATCGGGTTTCTTAGACATGGATAAAGCAAACGCAGTTTTGTCGACAGATGGGCGACATCTACTCATTCGGCATGGTGATGTACGAGATATTATTTCGTTCACTACCGTTTCCCAACTCCACTAATATTGATGGTAAGAATGGCATGAATGAAAAGCGTCTAATAAAGCATTATTGAAATCACTTCAGAATTGGTCGAACACGTCAGTAGTGGTGAAAAGGTCTGTCGTCCGTCTATACAGGATCGATCGGAAATTCATCCGGATTTGACCGCATTGTTGTTGGATTGCTGGAATGAGAATCCCGAAGTGCGTCCGTCGATTCGACGAGTTCGACTCAATACTGAAAGTTATCTGAGAGTGTAAGTACAGAAATAAATCTAAGTGCAGAAATTCATAACAACAAATAATTAGGTGTAACTTCTCATTTGCTGTCCACCCTCTGTGACCCTTTCCAGGGGTCACATGTTACTGCTCACCTCACCACTGAGGCTCTTGCTTTGCCTTTCTCCCAGCCATTTTTTATGCTAACGGTACCATCAGCAATCACCATCGGCAGAAATGATCTGTTGAGCACAAATCGGCATTCGAACCAGTAGAGCTGAGGCTGTAATCGAGATCACAATGCAGAACTTTTTATTTACTGCCTATTAATTATTTACTGGAAAGGTATTACGTGAAATACAACCACAGTGAAGCTGAGATATTTGCAAAAATCCAATTCCATGTCAGATTCGAACCTTAACTAGGTTCATCGTCGCTTTTTGCTCTCCAGATCACTCTCGTTGACTGGTATTGTTGGTGATACCGTTGGGGTAAACAAAACTGGGTCAAAGAAAGGCAAACAAAAGACTTCAGTGGAACGGTGTGTAACACGTAAATCTTCAGAACAAATAATCAGAGGTTCGAATAGAAAATGATAGAGCAGTTTATTAGTTAATTGACTTAACCGAATACCAATCACACTGAGCGCCGTCAGATGCAGGCTTTTCTTTAGCGTGTCCATCAAACGTGACTGATTCTACGTAGAACTAAGTACATGTTTAACTTTTTATTTACTACCTATTATTTTAGGGTACTGTGTGAAATACAACCACAATGATGCTGATATTTTTGCAGATATCGGTCCTTAGGCCAGAGCCGAACTTTCCGAGGCTCTTGTGCTATCACTAACCATCAACGCCCTCCTCTCCTTGCCTTTCAGCCAGTTCTTTTACCTTAAGGGTACCATCGACTATCACCCGTCAACGGGAGTGATCTAGAGAACACGAATTGGCATTGAGCCCAATTAAGTTAAAGCTACAGTCGATATCACAACGTTTAACTTCTTATTTATTGTCTATTATTTGAGCTCTTGGAAAGGGTTTTCGCAGGTTCGAATCTGGCCTGGGGTACGAATTTTGCAAATACGTGCACATCATCGTGGTTTTAAGTAGTTACAGTCGTAAATTTATCGTCGGCAAACAAACACCATCATGCTGGTAAGCTTTTGAAAACTGCGAAAGTTACCGAATTTCAGAAAAGGCTCGCTTGTCGACCAGATGATGCGGATGATGGAACAGGTATAATGGGTTTTCTTATTTTCGCTTTGGGAATAGGAAGTAGATGAGAAAGTGGCATCCATTTTTTGACACATAAATCAAATATTCTTACCGAGAGTGCGTTTTTTTCATACCCACCATCATTTAGCCTCGAAGTGAGGGATCAATACTTTGTTAGATTATCAAACTAATAAATTAGGGTGGGCATGTTTACTTGCAAAATACACCTTCATTTGTTCCGGGGTACTTATCGGCGTTGAAGTTTCTGTTTTTCTAAGTTCGAATATTCTAATGATTTTTGCACATTATGAAAATGACCTTTGGTGGATGACATACGCGTGTGACACAGTGGTCGGAGGTGCCCTGCGACACACACGTGGAACCGGTCCCCACGCTCGTGGCTCACCAAGACTTCCATCCCTCCGGGGTCGGAAAATTGGTACCAGAGTTGTGTGCATGGTAGCAGCACTGGTTCGATATATTGGTAGGCCACCACGGATCGTCGTACAGGCCAGATATCCATTCGATCACTTCCAACGATACTTAATAAAGTAGAATGCATGACGCATTCCTCAGCTAATGATCAACGCCAAAAGCTTTGTCTTTTTTATTTATCAAAATGACGCCAATTGTTGTATCTAAAAACTAGGCGCTTCTGTGGAACAAAATAAAGTCCGAGGAGGCTTCCTTCCATGAAGTTTTAGCTTTTCATTCAATCCATTCAACGTCCGCTTTTCGAGATGATTTTAACTTTCTAGCTCTCTAATTGTAGAAGTTTTCCAAAAAAAAACTACTGTTTTGTTTATGCTCACATTTTCGGCATGTTCTCGAAGCATTTAGTCATCCAGACTCCAGCTTGCCTTTTTCTGTTTTCGTCAATTATCAAGGTTATATGAAAGCAGTAGCGTTAAAATACAAATTTTATTCAAATGCCCCACTTTAAGATAACTTGCAAGGCGGTCAGAAAGGGAGAAATACATCAAAATGTAAGTTTCTATTTAAAAACCAGAGGCGTGTATTTCACAATGACAAAATAGACAATGCGCCGAGTGTAATGGAAAGCGCTATCAGGTCTGATGTTTTGTTAACCACTCAGGGAACATTGGTGAAAGTGTAGTAACAATTGACAATGTTTGCTTCAGTATGCTAACAATCTCGAGAAACTCGTCCAAGAACGGACTGGTATGCTGGAAGACGCAAACGCAAGAGCCGATAAGTTGCTTAGTCAACTTCTGCCGAAGTAATTTCAATTTCTAACTTAAAAATTTTGAAGAAATCGAAAGCATTATCGCTCGCTCTGTACTGATTTTGTCTCTGTCGTGCTAGCGCAACCCTTTGTCCAAGATGATAATTAAGAGTGATACACCAGAAGACCTCCCAACAGTTTACTCCTTATCGTGGCTGGGAGGTGTTCCTGGATGTCGGACTGCCATTTACAGCAGGGGGATTGGTCACCACGGCAGGGTATCCCAAGCTGAGAACGAGTCCAGCGTTTTCACCAGGAAGCCTACTTAAGAGTATACCAATACCAGGATCCTCCAGCGTCCTGGTATCGAAGTCGCGTGGTGGTAAATCTCCCGCTGATCCACAAAGGCTGCGACTGCCTGTTGTGGTGACGACCTGAGACTGACTTTAGCCAGGCTGTCCTCGGGATTCCGGGTAACCACAGTGGCTTAACCGGCAAATCTCCGAAAAATGGTGATTATGCTAGGATTCACACAACTAGTGAGGCCGCGCCGTTCAAGTATCAAGTATCATTTATTTATGAGATCTTATAAACTGATCTTCTTAAGCTGACGCGAGGTTGGTACAGATCTTCGTTGTCGTTGTCGTT